CAACACCCTCATTGATAGAAGAAACCTTACTTATACAGCAAAAGTAAAATGGCTATCTAACCAACATTTCTCCACTGTTAACTGGAGATCTAGTTTCTCTCTCCCTTCTTAAATAACAAGAGACAGTAGCATTCAATGGTTCACTTTCTGGCTTCTTTCAAGAATACTTCCACTTAATCATTATTTGAAAATAATTGGAATCAAACAATGTAATTTATGTAATTTGTGCCAAGAAAGCAAAGAAACTATAGAACATCTTTTCTTATCGTACTTATGTGTCTTAAGAAAGCACAGTGTCACATTTTTAAGTTGGTTTCGCGGCCAGCGGCCAGTTTTTATATAGATTTTCGAAAATAGGAAAGTCAATATATAAACAGTCTTTCCGATTCCTAAGTGAATTTCAATTTAGCCCAAGCGGCAGAGAACTGGACTAGTAATCCGTAGTCCCTGGTCCAACTCCTAGCGGAATCACTTCGGAAAATTGGCCTCAATAAAATCGTCGTCCACGTAGATTACTATGCACAATGATCTCCTTAACGTTGCTTTCACGTGCATGGCATTATTGAGTAAGACTGGAGGGGGAGGCCTTTCAGTGGAAGGGTAGTATGTCACAGTGGTGAACTGTTAGCCCGGTGTGTTACTGATCCACGACTTGGTGAGAGGTAATTTACCTTTGGCTCAATAAGTTGTTTAGATTGTGTTGTTTTGATATTTCTTCCCAAGGACCGTGAATATCTGTGCTGATTCGCGAAAGCCATGTCAGATTTATGACATGGTATTTAAGCGAAATTTGCATTAATAATCTAAATTATAAATAAACAATTCATTAGATAATTCGATAAGATGTCATACCAAAAGATCTATTGAGTATATCATTGTTTACCATAATAAAAAATGATTAAATACTGATAAGTTGCACAAATGCCTCAGCGACCTAACAATGTTCCTCGTAAGCGTACCATATTTGCGGTCTGTCTGAGGTAAGGTGAAGACGTTTTCTAGTACTCAAGACATCAAATATATCAGTATTGACTAGCTCTTAAATACACGTGGTCATTGATGGTCAAGTAGGACGGAGGGTCAGTGTGTCACTTATCTCGCGGTCGCTAGTAATGACCTGTCTATAGATGTATATAATGTATACGTCGGTTAGATTTCTTTACAGTTCATGTGACATATATCACTAATAAATGTTTACCGGCTGTTTGCTGAGTGATGTTTTTATGTCGCTTACGACATGTGGTTTAGAAAGCTCATCTTCACCGATTCCTTCTCTTTCCTCCACTATGTAGAGGTCCATGGTTTAGGAAGCTCACCTTCACCGATTCCGTCTCTTCCCTACACTATGTAGAGGCCCATGGTTTAAGAAGCTCACCTTCACCGATTCCGTCTCTTCCCTCCACTATGTAGAGGTCCATGGGTTAGGAAGCTCACCTTCCCAGATTCCGTCTCTTCCCTCCACTATGTATAGGTCCATGGTTTAGGAAGCTCACCTTCACCGATTTCGCCTCTTCCCTCCACTGTGTAGTGGTCCATGGCGCAAGAAGCTCACCCTCACAGATTCCGTCTCTTCCCTCCACTATGTATAGGTCCATGGTTTAGGAAGCTCACCTTCACAGATTCCGTCTCTTCCCTCCACTATGTAGAGGTCCATGGTTTAGGAAGCTCACCTTCACCGATTCCGCCTCTTCCCTCCACTGTGTAGTGGTCCATGGTCTAAGAAGCTCACCCTCACAGATTCCGTCTCTTCCCTCCACTATGTAGAGTTCCATGGTTTAGGAAGCTCACCTTCACAGATTCCGTCTCTTCCCTCCACTACGTAGAGGCCTATGGATAAGGAAGCTCACCTGCACCGATTCCGTCTCTTCCCTCCACTACGTAGAGGCCTATGGATAAGGAAGCTCACCTGCACCGATTCCGTCTCTTCCCTCCACTATGTAGAGTTCCATGGTCTAAGAAGCTCACCCTCACCGATTCCGTCTCTTCCCTCCACTATGTAGAGGCCTATGGATAAGGAAGCTCACCTGCACCGATTCCGTCTCTTCCCTCCACTATGTAGAGGTCCATGGTTTAGGAAGCTAACGTTCACCGATTCCGTCCCTTCCCTCCACTTTGTAGAGGTCCATGGTTTAGGAAGCTCACCTTCACCGATTCCGTCTCTTCCCTACACTATGTAGAGGTCCATGGTTTAGGAAGCTCACGTTCACCCATTCCGTCTTTTCCCTCCACTATGTAGAGGTCCATGGTTTAGGAAGCTAACGTTCACCGATTCCGTCTCTTCCCTCCACTTTGTAGAGGTCCATGGTTTAGGAAGCTCACCTTCACCGATTCCGTCCCTTCCCTCCACTTTGTAGAGGTCCATGGTCTTAGAAGCTCACCCTCACAGATTCCGTCTTTTCCCTCTACTATGTAGAGGTCCATTGTTTAGGAAGCTCACTTTCACCGATTCCGTCTCTTCCCTCCACTATGTAGAGGTCCATGGTTTAGGAAGCTCACCTTCACAGATTCCGTCTCTTCCCTCCACTATGTAGAGGTCCATGATTCAAGAAGCTCACTTTCACAGATTCCGTCTTTTCCCTCCACTATGTAGAGGTCCATGGTTTAGGAAGCTCACCTTCACCGATTCCGTCTTTTCCCTCCACTATGTAGAGGTCCATGGTTTAGGAAGCTCACCTTCACCGATTCCGTCTGTACCCTCCACTATGTAGAGGTCCATGATTCAAGAAGCTCACTTTCACAGATTCCGTCTCTTCCCTCCACTATGTAGAGGTCCACGGTTTAGGAAGCTCACCTTCACCGATTCCGTCTCTTCCCTCTTCTATGTAGTGGTCCATGGTTTAGGAAGCTCACCTTCACCGATTCCGTCTCTTCCCTCCACTATGTAAAGGCCTATAGATTAGGATGCTCACCTTCACCGATTCCGTCTCTTCCCTCCACTATGTAAAGGTCAATGATGTTTTGTTGTGTTAACGTCCTCTCGTTTCCAGTTGTTTTCGTACTAATTCAGAGTAAATAATATTATTGTTTGTTGACGATTCACATTTATCTAAATATGTATAAATATGATGCACTGTTGATATTGATGAAAACACGGCTACAAAGGGTGATATAGTAATGACAGAAAAAACACACGTACTAGAAAAAGAGAAAATTTGAACCCAAAACTGATACAGAAATAAAAGGAAAACAATTAGTGAATGAGACAAAAGAAAACCGTACTGAACCCTACAGAAAACCAGAGACGAGACCATAGAATAAGCATCGCGAATGTTAGTGTAAAACCTACAGAAAATCAGGGACGAAAACAAAGAAGAAACAGAGAATATTAATGCTTCACCTACAGAAAACAAGAGACGAAACATAGAGAATGTTAGTGCTAAACCTACAGAAAACCAGAGACGAAAGCACAGCGGAAACATAGAGAATGTTAGTGCTAAACCTACAGAAAACCAGAGATAAAAGCACAGCGGAAACATAGAGAATGTTAGTGATAAACCTACAGAAAATCAGGGGTGAAAACAAAGAGGAAACATAGATAATGTTGGTGGTAACCCTACAGAAAACCAGAGACGAAAGTTAGTTTTAAACCCACAGGAAACCCGATACAAAACCACCAAAGTATCATCATAGGTGTTAATGTTAAACCTACTTAATAGAGATGAGTTCACCAGGAGAACATCGTGACCATTACTGATGAACGTACAGTAACACTGCAAAGAATCTACTGGAGGCCGACCGGCCGTAATAGCGGAGTTAAAACTGTCAAAAGTTAGAAAAGAAACGAATATGAAGTCATATTACCAGTATTCACCTTTATTTAGGGACATTTATTAAACCAAAGCTAATGGCCATTCTCCTGACTTATTTAATCAAGTTTGGTGATTACCCATCACGACCACACATCAGCCGTTAGGTTATAAGTAAGTAGTGACACGTGCTGGTAAAACCCCACTTGATATATAACGCCTCATTATCACACCAATAAGGACGCCTACGTATGATAAACAACCAAGCCTGGGCTACAGTTATGATATCTCCTATATATCATAATGGTGAGTGAGACATCGGACAATTAAATAATTAACAATGGCACGCACTTTATTATTTTTATGTAAAATCATGTTCACTTTTTACTGAAATACCAAAATGGCTGTAAGAACGGTTTATTACGTACACAATAGTTTTATTATCGTGTAGTCATATAAGGTATTCCTTTGTATTGTTTGTGCCATTGTCAAAACTTTATAAAATAGTTAACATTGTGAACTTAAACCAGGTTTAACACCCACTCTCAGTCTCTTATGTATATAATGCTCACACTGAATTGTTTCCGTGAGTGTGTTTTATTAAGAAAACTCCACTGTATATAGCATTATTAAATCTCTTTGTTCAATATATCTGAATAAATTATCCAGATATATATGAAATTACATGCAGTCGTATTGATTTATCTCGCTTATACCTTCGATCACACATATTCGATCGTTGTGTAATTTATGATCCATGTGTGGGTTTTGTTGGTCGGATATCGCGCACTCAACAAGTCCGCCGTGGTTCGATTCCCCGATCAGAAGTGAAAAGGTACCTGCCCAACCAAGTAGGTTTTCTTCTCTCTTTGTCTGTTACGTAGAGAGTGAAAGTTCAGTGCGGGAGTGTGGACGAGTGAATGTATGCATTATGCATATTAACTTGCCAATGTTCAATCATTCATCGTATATAATTCAGTATAGTAATTCTTAAACTCCCATCTTGAAATTGTGTTGACATTATTATTGTAATACACATACCGGAAGGGCTTTGTATGAGTTGTTTATCTTGTGCACAATCCCGTTGCTATTTTAAGGCAATAAAATATGTTTAAATGAAAAAAACATGGTCATATGACAAACTCAGCCATTCAGGTCAAATGCAATCATTTAATATTATTGTTTTTTTATGACATACGATAATGGTCATACGGCATCTTATTCTAGTTTGATCATATGCATATTTACATAGTAAAAACAATTATAACGCATTTATTGTCATACTTTATTTATTAGTTAAACAATAAACAATAACACAAACGTAAGGACTACATATGTGAAACAATAAATTAGCAAGATCGAGAACAGGGTATTTGAGACAAAGTGTAAGTATTAGAAGACTCGTGGATTGTTACTTTATACTCAGACAATTTGAAAAATATGATAAGATACATTGTAGAATAGCTTAAACCTCTGGTTAAACACTTTGACAACACTACGTATATTGGTAGCATTATCAATAACAAATAACTGAAATCGTGAAAACTATTGTTTTAAATCTTATGAAGATTGAAAAAAACAAGTTTAATAAAAATGACAATAAAAGATATTAAAAAGAGTTTCAACATCATTTGTTCAAATTTGCTTTTAATACGATATTTTCGAAATGTAGTGTAATTTTGGTGGTATTAAATTAACTTCCATTACAAAATGGAGTTATAAGTGAAATATTCAAAATGTCAATATTAGGGATGTTGGGCCACAATGCTTGCAAAAGGAAGCCATGTGTATCAAAGCACAAACGTCATAAATATAATTATAAATACTGACGTGATATGTTTAGGTAAGCAATGTCTAAACATCGACGCACTATGAATCGGTAATCACTCTCTAACCGTTGACGTACTATGAATAAGTAAGCACTATCTAACCGTTGACGTACTATGAATAAGTAAGCACTATCTAAACATTGACTTACTAATGCATTGGTAAGCACGGTCTTAACATTGATGATGTGATATGCATGAGTAAGCACTGTCTTAATATTGACGTACTATGAATTGGTAAGCACTGTTTAAACATTGACGTACTATAATTGGTAAGCACTGTTTAAACATTGACGTACTATAATTGGTTAGCACTGTTTAAACATTGACGTACTATAATTGGTTAGCACTGTGTAAACATTGACGTACGATAATTGGTTAGCACTGTGGAAACATTAACGTGTTAAAATTGGTTAGCACTTTGTAAACATTGACGTACTATAATTGGTTAGCACTTTGTAAACATTGACGTACTATAATTGGTTAGCACTTTGTGAAAATTGATGATGTGATATGCATAAGCAAGCACTGTCTAACCATTGACCTTACATGTACAGGTTAGTACTGCCAAAGTTGCATGTAAACATATGCAGTACTACGTTAACTTAAAGTGAGGACAAACATTATACAACAACACGATACGATTATGTACATAACCTACAAATGTCATATTCGTATATTATCGATGAACATAAAAACTGACTAATAAATTAAACAATTGCGGATTTATCACTAGATTAATTTACAGAGACCAAATGAATTGTTCGATGATCAAGTCTTTGGACACACACGCATCATTTAAGATAAATATTTTCCTCATTTCAGCATGTCCACATTATTTTTTTCCAAATACACAAAGTCAAAGAAATTACGTTTCGACGTGTTAATCAACCTTAAATTATCGAGAATACATACATACATCCTTCACATACACGTCTATTTCACTTAGGTAAGCGTGTGACATTTAACAAACATGACGATAATAAGATTTGTGGCTGTTGATCGACGAAGACAAAGCTTCTGAAAGACATTGGTAAATTCAACATATAAATACGATGTAACCATGGTTACGGTCTTGTGTGATAAATATACACCGAATCCATGGTATACATCTAAATAGCAAACACATATACATTCATTCGTGTTCAAGGAAATTATTGATTTGATTTATTTCCCAATATACTGGCTATTTCAAAAGAGAAATAGATACACGGATTTTCGATTTCATACACAAATCTGCATGATTCTGTTTGAACAATTGTTCCTAGTTTAAAAAATTGCTATATTCGAAATCAGCGAAAGATGGCTGCATAGGAAGTTTCAAAATTATTTTTTCTTTACATTGTTTTATTCTCTTTTGTTTTCGAGCGAAACAAACATCATTCTCTTTCATTCGCACACGTCCCCTATAATGGCACCATAAATTCTGAAAGCACTTTTGGATTTTCGGGTCATTTTCATTCCATTGTCAGAATTTCTCCTTGAGGGAGATAACACATTGTCAATATGGAATAAACGTTTAACTTATATCATGTTAATTATGATGTCTTTTTTCATCAAGTAACTGTCATAACACAAACACAAGAGACCATTCATAATGCCGCGCTAGAGCGCCGACGACACTACATTTTCCCCCGTCGAGTCCTGTACTGTAAGATTATTGTGTTTTTGTCTATTTGTTTCATTTTCGATCACTATTTGGTCTTCTCCAATATGAAAGTTTGCATTGCTGTTTTTCGGGATTTCCTTATTGTTATTCGAATTGCTGTCTTTTTCAACAACTTCATTCTCGTCCTTTTCCTCGAAGACCGGGTTCGATCTATTCAGCTCGCCAAAGTCGAAACCTTTGTTTGTAACTCCAATGTCTGGCAGTGAAAAATGACGTCTCATCTGTGGAAATAGAATTGGCAGTTTATATTGAGAAATCGTGATATGACAAATTGTACATGACTCATTAACGAGGCTGACATATTTAACTACATTGTCACTCATTTTTCAAATCTAACTAGGTATGTACTTAAAATCTTGCTATTGAAGTAGCCATGCACACATCTAAGTGTTGAGAAGAGTGGCATTACATTTCTCTAGGACGTTCTGACATACAAGGTATACTTGTCTATCAAGTCACCTTTCCTCCAACTTATAGGTATCTGAACACAGGAAAGTGTTTCCATATCAAAAATGGGAGAACCGTTCTCAGAGGGAGAACGACTCTCAAAGAACTGGGTGAGTGACGGAGAGACTGGTATGGTAGTTGCTCGATGCACGAAGGTTCGACTGTGACTTACATTCTTTTGATACTGATGAAAGTTTGTTAATGACGATGATTTCTGTTCCTTCAGTGTTGTAGCGTCAGTCTGCTCGTCTCCGCACTGGCTGTCAATCATGAAGAAAGTGGCTAGACACTTTGGACTAAAGTAATCAATAAGCATGATTCCTAGCCCGACCAACGTAGTTATAACACCTGTGAGATAAGATGAATAACAAATGTCATTTGTAAATGTGAACGACGCCATGAGCATAATGAAATAATATTTGCAGTGATCTGAAATCGGAATAATTTGTCCATTGATCATAAAACAGTACCATTTATATTCGAACATGGGAAAAGTGGTCATATAATCCATATTTAGTAGCATAGTTCAGCATATGTTTCATGATCTCACCATATAGACTTTTCAGTCTTCATGACTTTTGTTATAGTTTGTGTTACTCTGGGCATGCAGTCATGGAAACAAAATCTCAATTTTAGACACAGAAAAAAAAAAACTTTTCCAAAAGATTATTGTCTATGAGCCATTATTTAATAATCATAAAAATCAAGATAAATTGAAAACAAAATATATGCACGCTAAAGGTTTATGGAGTTACTATGCGAATTCTGGTAATGTTAAACAATCAATTTACAAATACATGTACAGTATTCTAATGATAAACGTTGTCAACATGGTTTTACTGTTACAGTATCACAACTATAAATTCTGGCGATATCTTTTGTCAATCTCCTTAATTGTTTAACGGTTGAAAAGTAAATGCACTTACCCACGGTAAAAACAGCCCAGAAACAGATGCCATATTTGATAGCAAAATCACTATCCGAGCAAAGCATGCGCATGTCTCTTGTTGGCTGCAGTACGTGGTATGAAATATTTGACAAAATCATACATATTCCCGTCAGAGTATACAATGCTGCTCCGTAGAAAACCACACTGCATAGCATTATATTTGCTAAAAACCAAAATGAAAAGGAGGTCCTGCGAAAGAAGAAAAAAAAAGAAATTATGAATAAAATTAAACGAAAATATGCTCCTATTGACGAAAAGAAAATTCCCAAAATTAATTAATCGGAGTAATAATACATTACAATATAACAATCTAGTAGCAAATATACGGATCGATTTTTATAGTGAAATGATTATGTAATTAGGAATTTATTGAGTTACAAAATTGCTTTTCAGATAGAGAATCCTCTTACCATAAAAGGATATACGCGATATAACCTGCCATGGTGAAGCCCCGCCCCCATCGCAATCCTCCTTGATCAGTGGTCAAATATTCTACTACAGCAATTACTGGATCTGGCAGGCCTCTCAGCAAACAAGCCTTTAGCTCCCTACTAGGAACCGCCACTGAAGAATAGAAACATACATGTTTATTTGTTTAAAATATTATCTGATTTATATCATTTTGTCATGACCAAAAGTTATTAGTATTATCGATTGCATTTTATAGTTTGTTTATAGAAACGTTTATTGTATATATATAGACCGACGAACTTTGATAAAGAAAACATCAACGCGTAATTAAATATTTCAGTAACACTTCTTTTTGCATGAGTAGTATATTATTTCAGTTTTATAATTAAGTTGTACCATTCTGACTCCCGCAGCGTTAAGGACCTAGTTGTAACATTAATTGGCAGATTGTATCAGTCTAAAATCATCCAGTAATAGGAATTGGTTCAAAGAAATTGGTTAATGCGATAATGTATAGTGTACTCCTCAGACATTAAACAACAAATAAAAACAAATATGACCAATTGACATTCATATATAATTGATTAAACAACTGGTTAAAGATTTTAAAATGTCACAAAAATGATATCATCTCACACATGTATAAAAAACCTCTTAATTAAAGTGGAATTTAGCAAGATTTGAAATTAAGATTTAGTTTGCAAAAGAAAAGTTTAAAATATCTTTCAAATATGTTGCAGGAGAAAATGTTCAAATATGTGTTCCATTCTAATATCACACAAAAGCAATGGAGTGAGCGATGATGTTATGATTAATGTCTTATCATATATAGCAGCACTTTTTTTTTTTTTTATAAAATTGCTCCTAAATAGGTTCAGAAATTAACAGGACGATTCAAAGCAAGTTATTTAGGTAACTGACATAAATTATTACATAATATTTTATAGAGTATATAACTTGTGTATTAAACTTTTCGTATATACCTTTATGTATATAGATTATTATACAGACACTGGCCTATCCCTGTCCCTTTTCTAATTAGACATAATGAAATATACATGGCGTAAAGAGTCTAGTATGATTCATCGTTGTCATGAAAACTGTCAGATTGAACGCAAACTTGGCGCCATTAACAGAAAGTATAGACGAGTAAATACTGATTCTGTCATTATTCAATGTTATTCTGAGAATGTTTAACCCGGTTACACTGCTGACAAAGGTGGATGCTTAGTTTGAAAATAGAAAATTCGGCAAATACTTTGTCAATGTGTAGCCATAACTGAAGTGCTTTATCATATGCATGTTTATGTGACGTATGATGTCTATAAATAAAAACACATTTCAAATGCATATTTTGTTTGATAATGTGATAAATGCTATTTACAAAAAGTAACACGTATCAAATATACATTTTGATTTATAAATGGGTATATCATTAGCATCTAACCCTTGATAATTACATGTCGAAGACTTTGTTGCATTGATACCGTACTGTCCCATGTACACCTGTCATATACTCCTATTGCATCTAGTATTCGTACTGTCTTGATAATGGAGCATGTCGCTTAGAGATTTCGGCAGATACTATGTCTGTATTGTAAGATATCCCACACATGCCTTATTCATACTAATGATATATATATATATGTATTTATGGTTATGACCGTTGATTAAATCACCACCGATGTCAGTCAGTTCATTCTAACACTAAGAGTTATCTATTCACTAACATTAACTTTTGTTGTTACGACACATTGACCCCCGAAGTCTATTTAAGGAACTGTTAATTATACCAGTGACATGCACATCATTTTGACAAGTCATTAAACATATAAAAAGAGGTTCGTCACCAAGATAGACTTTGCAGTAAAACGTTTCCTCATTGTACGGATATTATTAGTTAATTATACATAATCTGCAAGTCCAATAGGTTAATGTGTGTTAGTGGCATTATTGCACTGTGAACTACATTTAGCTGTGACCTTCACATTTATCTATGAGCTCAAAATGTTTGCTTGATCGTCAGGTGTATATTTCGATACTTCGTCCTTACGTATGTTTTTGCAATTTTACAATAACAATTTTACAATAACTGATGTACAAACCTCCATCTAATGCTATTTCTTCGTTGTATGCTACCTCACCACCACCAGATTCAAAGTGTCCTGCAATTAAAATCCCAAACACAAAATTATTTATCATGTGATTATAAAGTTAAAATAATTCGTATTCACATGTTTTGCATTGTAGCTTATCAATGAAAATATTCATACAAACATTCTTTGAAAGTCTGTTTTTAAAGATATAGAAACACCACAGTGACCAATAGTTTTATTTGTATTAAACATGTTTGCAGATCCGACGGATTTGACTCAAACAGTTATCCTTATCATTTTGCTCAGTCAAATTGAAAAAATAAATTAAAATTAAAATCCTGAATGTAATGTTCAGTCAAATTATAATCCTTAATACCATGTTTTGTCAAATTATATTCCACGTTATGTATAGGTGAACTGTGCTGTCAACATTACACATTATGGACAATTAACATTTTTCATTACACTAAACAGAACCTTGGTCATATATATCACTACGGTCCCATCTATCTACTTGTCGTGTAACAGAAAGGTCTACAGAAGGGGCTACAGAAGGGGCTACAGTGACAAGGCCAATCCAGCAACGCTCACCATAGCTGTACAACTTGACCATTGGCCTTTTTTCATGTACGTATATACATAGCGTGTATGTTGCATATACTTTTCAGTATTTCGATATCTGAACATTTCTATATGCATTTGCACTGGAAATGCACTAATTCTTCAGAACCTGTCTGTATGGTTTAAATACTTGAACAAATGCTCAGACCTCTGGGACAATGACATTAAGAGCAATATTCTATTACGAATGTCTGACATATTTATCAAAAGAACATGTCAACGATGATCGATTCGTTTGATCGTTCCATGCAAATGCATGCCCTTTTATCATCGTTACCACATAGCTGTCAGTCCCATGCATGCATGAATAAAATCCTTATGACTTACCCGTCAGAGTAATGTTGACCTTTGTAAGTCCGATGATGACCCCGACCTCGCCGTGAATCTTGGCTCCAGACCTGTATATGTAAGGAGCCCTGACCTTGCTGCTACCCTCCATCCAACAATATCCAAATATGGACACTGCAACAGCAGAGAGTTTAAACATGAATAGGATTCAATAATATCATGTGTTCACTACCAGATTGACAAGTCCAGACACAGGACTATATGTGTAATGAATAGGATAGACTCATTGACCGAAACTGATTATCTGCAAAAATAACTTATACAGTTTTATCAGTTACGTCATAGCTCCTCCTGAATATGATATATTTTCTTTGAACAAAATTGCTTTGTCATACTATGCCCAAAGGAAAGTGCCCCTTTAATTATGTGACGGAGTTGAAATCATTTAATGGTTGATACTAAGCCTATTGCAACGAGTTAAAAATAATGCTGCATACTTCAAGCAGCATTTGACTATCATTGTTCACTTGCGTTACAATTTTAATTGGTTTGACATTTGATTGAAAAATTGATATAAAATTGTTTCCCTTGCTATCAAGATCTGCTAATGTGTAAATGATCATTTTTTTATTTTCCCCATCTGTATAAATAGTTTAAGCAAAGTTGGCCTAGTTTGGAAATATCTTATTATTGCCACGAAGAAGGAGTATGAGTTAATGTTTTTAAATGTACACAGGTGTTATTAATTACTGTAATACAAATGATAATATGTTCACCCACCGCGCTGAAGATTCACGATAAAATGTATTAAAGTATACAGTTTTTCATTTCCAGTGCAATGAGTAAACTAAAAGATTTTCATTCGTTGCATCGTGTAAGTGGCTCAGTTTGGTAGGTGTACGTTTAGAAATGAAATCTGATAATAAAACTAACGTTCATTGACATGAACGAAAAAGGAAAAAAATGTCAGTGAATGAACATGTTAACATCACAAAAATGATATCAAACCACGATGTTTACACCTTGTACTCTTGTATCTTACGTATCACAACAGATATTCCAGTCTGACATATGTCAACCTATAAAACCACTCCTTTCATCTAAATCTAATTTCTTATGGTGTCAAAAGTGTTAATAACAGTAATAATTAGGGAAAAGAAAACACTTACAATATTCAATTGACAAGACAAAGTCGTGTCATATAGTTATGCTCGTTGACGTCATTTAATAAAAACTTAATAGATGATACACGTTTTGTGTAACTGCCATTTGCTCTCTAGATGTCGTTTGATTATATATAACTTGTATTACAGGAAGTGTAAGCTGCCATTACAAGCTAAGTTTTGTCAGACCGAACTCCTCCACAATGTCGAACAAATGTATCGTGATCTTAGAAAAGCTCGGGGTCTACAACGGTCAATGTGCGACCTCGTTCGGCCTATATTTTGTTACGTCAGAGTTGTCTAAAGCACAGTGGTACTTCTGAAGTGACAGGGATATGACCTGATCAGTTCAATGTTTTAAAAAAATCATAAAATATTAGAAAATGCATGATAAACTTTATTTTGTAAGCATTATTTTGCATTTGGTGTTTTTATGGTTTAAATCGTATTAAATTGTAGATCCAGCTTCTGATACTAATAAAAATATGCCTTATTTGGAACGAAGATTAATTTAGCTTATGAATATAATTATAGGGTTCGACATTAACAGCAGCCTTGCAGCTCGAAATTACTGGAAATCTGGCCGGACAACATAACAGTTGGAAACCAGTGCTGTTCTTAAGCAAGTTTTGCAAATGTCAACGACGGCAAATATGAGAGCCTCTTTATTTCAGTTAACACTGACAGTTGCTTTCCTACTATAGTAAACACTGACAGTAGCTTTCCTACTTTAGTAAACACTGACAGTTGCTTTCCGAATATAGTACACACTGACAGTAGCTTTCCTACTATAGTAAACACTGACAGTAGCTTTCCTACTATAGTAAACACTGACAGTAGCTTTCCTACTATAGTAAACACTAACGGTAGCTTTCCTACTTTAGTAAACACTGACAGTAGCTTTCCTACTTTAGTAAACACTGACAGTAGCTTTCCTACTATATTAAACACCGACAGTAGCTTTCCTACTATAGTACACACTGACAGTAGCTTTCCTACTTTGTTACACACTGACAGTAGCTTTCCTACGTTAGTACACACTGACAGTAGCTTTCCTACTTTAGTAAACACTGACAGTTGCTTTCCTACTATAGTACACACTGACAGTAGCTTTCCTCCTATAGTACACACTGACAGTAGCTTTCCTACTTTAGTACAAACTGACAGTAGCTTTCCTACTTTAGTACACACCGACAGTAGCTTTCCTACTTTGTTACACACTGACAGTAGCTTTCCTACTTTAGTAAACACTGACAGTAGCTTTCCTACTATGGTAAACACTGACAGTAGCTTTCCTACTTTAGTACAAACTGACAGTAGCTTTCCTACTTTAGTACACACCGACAGTAGCTTTCCTACTTTGTTACACACTGACAGTATCTTTCCTACGTTAGTACACACTGACAGTAGCTTTCCTACTTTGTTACACACTGACAGTATCTTTCCTACGTTAGTACACACTGACAGTAGCTTTCCTACTTTGTTACACACTGACAGTATCTTTCCTACGTTAGTACACACTGACAGTAGCTTTCCTACTTTAGTAAACACTGACAGTAGCTTTCTTACTATAGTAAACACTGACAGTAGCTTTCCTACTATGGTAAACACTGACAGTAGCTTTCCTACTTTAGTAAACACTGACAGTAGCTTTCTTACTATAGTAAACACTGACAGTAGCTTTCCTACGTTAGTAAACACTGACAGTAGCTTTCCTACTATGGTAAACACTGACAGTAGCTTTCCTACTTTAGTAAACACTGACAGTTGCTTTCCTACTATAGTCCACACTGACAGTAGCTTTCCTACTATAGTAAACACTAACGGTAGCTTTCCTACTTTAGTAAACACTGACAGTAGCTTTCCTACGTTAGTAAACACTGACAGTAGCTTTCCTACTATGGTAAACACTGACAGTAGCTTTCCTACTTTAGTACAAACTGACAGTAGCTTTCCTACTTTAGTACACACCGACAGTAGCTTTCCTACTTTGTTACACACTGACAGTATCTTTCCTACGTTAGTACACACTGACAGTAGCTTTCCTACTTTGTTACACACTGACAGTAGCTTTCCTACTTTAGTAAACACTGACAGTTGCTTTCCTACTATAGTCCACACTGACAGTAGCTTTCCTACTATAGTAAACACCGACAGTAGCTTTCCTACTATATTAAACACTGACAGTAGCTTTCCTACTTTAGTACAAACTGACAGTAGCTTTCCTACTTTAGTACACACCGACAGTAGCTTTCCTACTTTGTTACACACTGACAGTATCTTTCCTACGTTAGTACACACTGACAGTAGCTTTCCTACTTTAGTAAACACGGACAGTAGCTTTCCTACTACAGTAAACACTGACAGTAGCTTTCCTACTATAGGAAACACTGACAGTAGCTTTCCTACTATAGTAACCACTGACAGTAGCTTTCCTACTATAGTAAACACTAACGGTAGCTTTCCTACTATAGTACACACTGACAGTAGCTTTACTACTATAGTAAACACTAACGGTAGCTTTCCTACTATAGTACACACTGACAGTAGCTTTCCTACTTTAGTAAACACTGACAGTAGCTTTCCTACTATGGAGACCCGATAATAACGTAAGTATCACTTAAGTCTTGCGTAAAACACAGATAGAAATCGTGATTTTAGCTTGGCTATTCACGTAGACACATAACCGGCACATGCTCACCTGTTAAACCTTTATTATGGTCATATTGCATTATATTATTTTGTTTATATGTGTTGCCTTACGGTAATAGGACTTTAGACAGTGAGTTTTGGTTACGTTCAGGTGTGTGTGTTTTAGCCAAACCCAAAACCAATGCTAATGTTTACTGCTACATTTATTGACCTTGATAAACTTAATGTTTGTGAAACTGTTGTAAATACATCGCTGTATAAGACCGGGATAGAATAAAAATCAAACACACTGAGGAATTCGGATTAATGCTTGACAACTTTTAAGTGATTAAATCATGTTCCTTTTGGAAAATGTTTAAGTATTTATTTATATTAAGTATTGTAAAACGATTGAGTTTAGTTTGATTACTTTAGTGTGTAGCCCTGAAGTACCTCTAACATTAAATTGCACAAACTTCAATCATGTAATCATTTTTACATGTAAATAATCAAAAAAAAATATATAACAGTCATGGGTAGTTTTGCATTTTGGATTTAAGTTTTTTGTCGGAAATACTCCATATACTACCGTTTTGCTGACGGTGTAACGATCGATGTCTATGTCGAGGCCCTATAGTTGTGGTTTTGACATGAAGATATCAATTGATCAACTAATACAGACCATATGCTCGAACAAGCGTCACATAAATCACAGACATGTCCTTATCATCGCCCACCATTGTCTGTATGTGCAAGCGTGTGCATTGTTTCATGATCTTTTATGGCAATATATTGTACCGTTTGAATTGTAGTATCAAAATGTAGCTAGTTTTATAATAAGAAGCATAACGATAAATTGACAGCAGTAACACTTGAATAAAAATAAAGGACAGCTTTGCTGCATTTTTGATGAAATAGAGTAAGTATTATATGTAATTAAGTTCCAAATCATGACTTTCGACTGCCAGCTTATTTCTATGCAAGTTAACTCGGATATATCGTTTATCTGGAAATGATGATGTTTCCCTCCCCTTGACAATTATTTCAATTCATGTCAACTCGGAAAATCCAATTCTACGTTCAGCTGAGGATGATAGTTCCTTTCCTGATAGTTTACGTCTATGTAAAGTAACTCGGATAAGTATAATACTACTTCAACCTGGCTAAGTCTATTTAATATTAAGTCTCAATTAAGTCAATGAAATGATAAATTGACATCATTTGAATTTCATTCTGTTATATCGCAAATTATGATTTAAGTCATTTCGATTCATTAGCAAATACTTCACACTTTCGAAAACTTTTTACCGATGTACATGTGTTTTTCTAAGACATTTTATTCAAAGATTTGTATATGCATACACATTTGGCAATTTCGTACTTTGATATTTACCCTTTTTCATTTCACAAGTCACACACTTTCCGTTTTATGTTGCAACAAAAGGAACAGATTTCTTACATTTTTTATGTTATTTAGGAAAAATACCTTTTGATTCTCCAGTCAATCTTGGTAATCAGAACTCAATATTGCTAAAGTTTTGCCATGTTCTAGGTGAAAATGAAGTAACGCGTTTGAATAATGATCATTTAACAAGACATTGTTTTGAATTTTAATCATTGTTTATCTTTGCTATTGATATTGATGACCAATAAAATGTCCTACATAAACTGGAAAACGACTTCCTAAATTAATAGTATCACGTTTTCACCGTGGAGAGGACATTTTTCAAATTATAAGTTACTATACAGAATGATGCAATCATTAATATCATTAGACCATGTATTAAATAGATGAAACGACACAATCATTAACAAGACGTGATCATGTCTTTATATAGACTGTAAGACGCCATCTTTAACAAGGAGAGATCATGTATTGCAAACGTATAATAGGATTGTAATTTTTTAAACATGTATATTTATTTCATTTTTATTTGTTGCACATACAACTTCAGTATTGCAACAACGGGGTCATGCTGTAAGCAGCTGACATTATTGCGCGGAAGATTATATTACGGAAGAAAACATGCCTGACGGTCATTTGTACAGTTTTATTTGAGGATATATTTCCTGTAGTGTTTTTTAAAACGATTTCAAGGAGAAATGTGAAAATGCACGGACAATGCTTCTGTCAATAATTAAGTTCCGTAGAAAAAGAAAAAAAGAATATCAATATTACTTCAGTGTTAATCACTAGCAGTTAATATGGGCTAATTGGGATGTAGTTGATTGAGAATTATAAAGTTTTACTCACGTATGATGGTAGAGCCCACGGCCAGACTGTATAACACTCGCAGGAGAGTGTACCAACGCTGTTATAGAAAATACAAACAGCATTATAACAGTGGAGTATTACATGTCTCAACTTAAAATAGTCTTAGAATAACAAAAAGAGGAAAAATAAAAAGAACGATTCTTGTTTTGTGAATGAGAAGTTACTATTTGTTAATTGAAAGCTTTATATAATATAATTCGAATAATCGAGAAAATACATTTCTCAATAAATATAAGTGATGTACAAAATCGATGAGTTTTTTAGCCGTTATATATGATGTTAAAACTTACTTCTTTTCCTCGAATTCCAGCAGCAGCAATCAGGGTTGCCAAAGATATGAGTGCGCATGCGTATATGACCGCAGCAAGGGACACATCCATGGTAACTGCCGTTCTTTTCTCTCCATAATTTGTGAAGCCATATTCTCCCCGAAAAGCTTGAAACCAGGACATTCTGATAAAAGAAGAATGAAATTTGTGATATTGATGCAAACGTTATCATTATCAGCATCACACATCCGTCATTGATATGAAGACAAGTGTTTCCGTTGATCATAGGGTTTCGGTTAGACATGTTATAAAATAATCCACAGCGAAATATAAGTAATCGAAATAAAATATAACAAAAGGGAAAATCATGATGACTTTTAAACGGAAGTTCTCATTTATATAAGCGGATTTTGAAACTTAAACTAACTCGAGTATGTCGTTGGCGAAGGTTGTACGGATAAAACTCACCCCCAAGACTCTATATTACTATGCATGATGTATCGACGACCGATACATCATGTTCAGGTTTAATGATATTTCATCTGAGAACAACTGATAGATTAAATTCATGAACGAGTTAAATCATTAAAATGTCACCATAAACGATGTTATGTAAAGTTTCATTTAAAACACGGTAACAAAAATACAATGTTCTAAAAATGAAAATCGTCATTATCACATTATCACATGTTTTACGAATGCAATTATTTGGTTATTCCCATCTACTTGAAATCGTTGTTTGTATAAAATGGACTAGTTCCATAGGCTCTCTGAATAATTCATTTTTTAGACAATATTTACCTATAAAATACAACATAATAAAATCACCTTTCAATCGAAGTCTTCTCTTAATTCTAATTCGTATAATATCCTTAGCTCCGGTATTTTTCTTTAGTTTCGTATTTTTCCTTAATTCCTGTATTTTCTTTGAAGCGGTGATGCCACTTTCATTATATGTTTTAATTCAAAATGAGGTGTACATAAAAGTATCGTATATATATAGCCATGGAGTATCAGCCTATGTCAAACCTATTTTCCGGGAACAGCTTCGTTCCGTGTTGAAAGGTGCGTTCAACGACCCTATATATTTTTACCTGTAGGTGTGTTCAATGTGATGTGTATCTTCCTGTTGGGTAGTTACAAATCTGATAAATATATCTAAACAAGAGGATGTCAGGTACTATGATAAAGACATCTTTGTTTCCGGTGGATTACCTGAGCGCGCGAATGCTATTGATTTAACTTATCTCTACCTGTCAAAATATACATATCATTAAACTTCATAGAGGCATCTGGACTATATCTGTAAAGCTCAATGCTATCAACAGGATTTGAGTTTTAACAACCTAAATACTTCACTTGACACAATCTATCAGTACAGAAAAGTGTTTTGTTATAAAATTTCGACTAAAATATCAACATCTCTTATTTGTTTTCTAAACACAAACATAGTAATGAGAAAAGGAGAAGTGCAGGATGTTTAAAACGCAGTTCTAAAATTATCAAATATCTAAATCGGGGGGTCAATAATCGATGAATTTCCATCTAGTTACATTATTTGATGAAAGCAAAACGAAATGTTATGAAGTGGTTACTTATATATAAATATTTTTTGTTATTTGTGTGTTTTTAGGTCATATCCTTAAAAAGATGTGAAAATGTTTTTTTTTCATATCAACCAAATGCATTAATTTTTATTTTATCTTTCATGGTATTTTTCACCCGGTTAGACAGAGCGGCAGTGACGTAGATATTGACACCATGCATACTCATGTATGACTTATGTAAATACAGGTCGAGATTGACGTAAGGTATTGGATTATAGCTATATTTGTTTATATTTTATCTTCACGACATGCTGTGAATTATTCACTTCAAAATCTCTCATGTTTTAAAAATCAACCTCCACCTTACCCTTCCCCCTGTCACTCTATACGAAATAAGTGAGAAATTGAATAGAGTACTTTTAGTTTTATATGGAAACGATTTATTAATAAAGGTTATGTCCACGATGTGATTACTACCGTCACTGTACCCAAATCGGGACACGTTTGAGATAAATATCAATGTTCTCAAAATGTTTGTTCATTTTTCATGATTAGATACTATCCACTTTTCATTACTATTACAAGTTGATATTTCAGGCGCGTGGTTCTATAAATAAAACGCGAAATGCCATTAGGGTAACGTAGGCCTTTAAACCGGCGTAACTGTACCCTGAAAGGGACACTTCGGTATTTTGGCTAATATTTGGGATAAAACTATCAATATCAGCAGAAAAGAAGACATATTTAAAATATTTTAGAGTCAAACAGAGTTATAATTAAATTTCTTCTCCATTCTTGCATTAGTTTTGATAAATTAGACTTTTGAAATTGATATCCAACAAGTAGCATCGCACGGCACGTTTATCGGGAAAGTTTTGTTTTGTCATTATTCTTAACTTAAAATTGTCCATGTAACGATAATCAGCAGCTAATAAAGCTTACATACAGTTATATTGTCAGAGAAGTATCATCAAATGAAAAGTATACATAAAAGTACTTCTTTGCATTGAACGACAGTTTCTATGGCCGTTTTCCCATAAGTGTATCGTTTTGGGTCAGTGACGGTACTATTTTAAAATAGTCTGTGAACTAATGTGTCTTAGGGCAGCATAAATTGCAAATAATATTTTATTATTTTCTCCATTGTTCTGACCTAAACTACCTAGTACTGAAACAAATATGATTATTGATAAGTATTTCGGACAAAGTAAATACTATTATTGATTTATCATTATTAACGATCAAGGTATGTGTTTTTGACAGGTAATCGTTTAGATTTAGTATATGCAATATGACCCTTGTTGACCGTCTGGCTGCAGCCCGTGCCTATTCAGGCCTATACGAATCATCAACCAGGTAAGCCATTACAAGTAAACTAGAAAGTATTACGACCGTACATACCAGGATGTGTGCGGTCCATACTCGGGAATACCTTTATACTGTTTATGTCACAGGTCTAACCACGGACAATCCGCAGGTTAGCATCACAACAAGTCTGGCCAATACAAGCCGACCTTTCACGCTTTGGAAATACCTATGACAGTATACCTGTGGTATTGAAAACAACGAAAAGGAATATTTTAATTCATACTCTAATTCTATCGAATCAAACGTTTTCGCACAAATCGACGTAATTCTGACGACCACATTCGTATTTGGTGATCAGGATGTCCTGTAGGTTTCATAGTTTACGAAATATCACGATTTCTTCATAAACAAGCAAATCGATTACAATGCTGTTGGTGTATAAATCCAAACTTTCTCTTTCATTGGTTCAAGATTTTATGACTAATTGCAAGAATCGTAATTCCTTGGGTTGATTTTCCCATGGTTTTAGATTTGGGGGATTACATGTTTGGAATAAGATTTTATGATATTTTTATGATGAAATTAATATTTTGACCACGAAAATAACGAAACACTCGAAAAATTAAAGGTTTACGTTAACATGGCTATATCAAAATACCGATTTTACACAGGTAACCCGGGACAGAAAAATCGAGTTAGCAACTGTTACCACAACCCGTCATGTTGATCAACATATATATTTCACGGACAGATAAGTCAAGTTTAAAAACATAAAAGCTGAAGATTTTCACTGCCGCTAGGTATCAAGTGTGTTTGATCATTACGTGCGAGTAAATGTTAAATACCAAGAGGTTTTAGTGTTATGATGCTTTAAAACCCTACTTATCAATAGTGGTGAACAACACAACTTAGATATACAAAGAGTATTTAGATAGTTTGAAAGTCCAAACGACTACATACCTAATGAATATGTAAATTGTAATTGAAGCTCATGCCAAAAAGCAAGGAATTGGCCCTATTCGTCCCGATTTTATTACTGTTAGTGATGAGTTAAGATGTCAAGTTTGGACAGGTGATAGATATGTGATGGATCACCGTTCGTACCTGAGCTGATAGTAAGTCTTGTATCATTTATACTTGAGCGTAGAAGTACATATTCTTTTTACATAATCTATAATCTAGCAGTCTTCTCGGGAACAGCTAAGGTACTAATCGCCTTTAACAACAAGATAATGCAATCGAAAAAATCGCTTTAACGAAAGTTGGACAATGGTGTAAGTGAAACCCTAACACACACTATTCGGGAATGTTGTGGTCCCACTAATACCAGAAAGTGATTAATTGTTCTCGCACAACGATATAGGAGATGTATTTTCGACGGAAAGTAGCCTACAGAACGTCAATGTTGAGCTGAAAAATTCTCAAATAGATATGCAAGGCGACAACTGAAGTTACCTCTAAAATAATTAAAAAAATATTTTTGTATGTAAATGTATTAGTTTAAACTAATTGACTTCATAGACAACTTTTAACTGAAAGTTCTTTATTTCTCTGTAAGGAATATGTTTTACGGTGGCAGTCTTAACAATTGTATGGACACCTCTTCTTAACCCTTTGAGTGAGGAAGAACACTTATGTATCAAAGTGATTCATCGACTAGACAGGCCTCATTTTTGTGATAAGGGTATACAAATAGGGCGCCGTCTATGATAAATGACATATTATCATAGTGAGTAAAGAATTTGATATCTGATATCCGAGTACCCAGTGGCATCAAGGACCTGCATGTTTGTATCCTACTTGTATAACAATTACTTAATCATTCATCGTCCTTTTAGTGATCCATATTCAGGAAAGCGTTGGACGTCAAAGTAATTAGGATAATATGACACTTCGTTAGAAAATTTCCAAAGACTAATTGCTGCCTCAGACCATAAAATAATATACTTGAAGTGACTTTCAAAGATAGGCTATGCTTGGTGATGTGATATTGTCACAGTTAATTTATGATCAATATAAATGGATTTGGTTATGATCAAAAACTAAATATTTCAGTATGACAACAAGAATATTGAATCTGACTCATGTAAGACCATAGCATCTCAATAAGGAAGTAGTTATTCAAATATAAACCAGAGGAGTTTTTTTTCATGTTTTCGTGTATATTTTCCGAAATATTTAAATAGTTGATAAAATATATGTATAAAACAATAAATATACCACAAAACAAGGAAACTTAAGTCTGACAATATTACGTAACAGTGTCACACAATTAAAATTTCAATTATACATATATTATTTGCATAATTAAAATTTTAATTATACTGGTGTACAGTGTGCAACTACAGAGCTTCAATGCCGAACGAGAAATCAATCATGTCAATATATATTCTAAAAAACCGCTATGTTAAGACGTCCACCATCAAAACGCTTCGTCAGACTATTACCACAATGAAAGTGCCTATTAACATTAAATTAACATTTCAGCAAAGAATTCTCAACTATATATTTTATAAAGCATGCTTACCTGCAAAACATCCGTTAACGTTTCCTATGTATTTGTGTGCGACAAAATAAAAATGATTCACCTCCAAACTCTCCCACTAAAAACTACAATATCCTACGAAAGGGTTCACAAATGTCAAACACGTCTAGTAGATTAAATGAAAACACGTCGATTTATTAAAAGGAAAACTGTCCTAAGAAACTAAGTCGTTAGGGAATATAGCAGTCGTGCTGATACCAGTAATAACGTACGTAAATGTTCTTGTTTAATTTACCGGAACTGATAGTGTTACTACAAAAAGTAAGATATTTAAAATTCCAACCGTAAATATCGGTGTACAGCCTAAACCTTACTCACTATTTTACCCTTCTCGTGCATTACACACCACACAACTACGAAAAACAGGGAAGATTAGAGGTGTCTTTATCGTACCTATAGAGTCGGCTATGAAACATCAGGAGGTGTTTATTGTAACGTATCGTAAGTAAGGAATCAGCAAGGTAGAGCAGTCTCACACACGTGCTTTCAGGTAAAAATTTAGCAATTAGTATTTATTAGTATATATTTGATATCGGGATAAAACAAATAGGGCTAGTATCGTGCAGAATCTTGACGCATCAGTAGAAGCACGTTGAATTGAAAGAAAAAAGTGCACTGAACGAAGCTGTTAGAGAATACAGTGTTAATACTCATTGCAGACGTGAATGCACATTTTGAACTTAAAGATTATACGTCGATTTAATACATAAAAGTTACTGCCTT